AGCCTAATTGTTAAGTGTCCGCTTGTCACGCTGCAGACCAAGGTTTGATTCACAAAATGGGTACAATGTGTGAAGCCCATTTCTGATGTCCTTACTCACTCACTCATGGCAATGGCACAAGTTATGAATAAGCAAGCTATCCGACATCTGTACCTTATTCACTGCAGAAGAGCCCATGTATTTGCGATATAGTGTTTTATAGGGCTTGCTATTGTTAAGGATCATAGAGATTGACAATCAGTTGTAAATTTTATGTTAAGATCCGGGTTAGAATTGGTCTTCAGCAGCCCATTCTTGTCAAAAGAGATGATGGCGTCTGGTGGTCAGAATCACTGACTTTTTTGACACGTCATCGTATCCCAAATGCGTAGATCGATGCTCATGATGTTGCTCACTGGATTATCTGGCCCAGACATGAAAAATTACAGAACGCCACCGTATAGCTGGAATTTTGTTGAGTGCTGCATTTATCAACAAACAAACAAAACATTGGTAAATATCAGGAAGTAACTTTCTGAAAATATGCTGAAAAAAATCTGAGAGAAATCAACACTGGTGAGATTTGGATAACTCACAAAACAGCACTCTAAAACATAACATATGGGTTACCCATGAATAAAGACAGAACTTTGTGTATTGTGTGTGTATTAAGACTTTATTTCATTTCACTAGTTTTTGTCAGATAGTATCAATGTCACAGTTCTCATGTTAGGGGTTTATGATTTTTCACATTGACGATATTTCTGATTATTTATCCTTTTTGCCAGCCTGAAAGTTTAACCTTGACCTGCCAAACAAGGCATCCTTTGAACTCCTGTTTCTTATTTCAAGGGTTTTGACTGGAAATATGAGGTGTATAAAATGGTTTAGTGTACTGATAAATAAGATTTAGTAATTCTGATTTACACCAACCTTGTATAACATTGGTATAATTAACATTTTGATGCAACGACAGGTGCAATATATTTGTTTTTTTGCATCCATTCTATAATTTGTGCATACTTGATGCACATCTCTGGATCGCGTAAAACAATGTCAATACTTGCATTCAGTCAGTAAGAAAAGATCTGTCACAGTCATACATGTATGCATTGTTAAAAAACAACTGGTTTATTATTGTGTCATGTTTATACGCAAGAAGCTAGGAAGTTAATTGTATTCTGATGATTTTGTTTGCCTATTTTATGTATATGCTCTGGAGGTCTGCTACCTCTCTCATATGTTTGCTGACTCTTTAGAAATAGAAAAACTAGAAAGCCTGTCTAATCTCTTTGATGTTGATGATGATGATGATGATAATGATGAATCTGGATGATGATGATGATGATGATAATGACTTATCTCTATGATGATGATGATGATGGATGACTAATCTCTTTTTAATGATGATGATGATGATGATGACGACTAATCTGTATTATGATGATGATGATGATGATGATGATGATGACTACTAATCTCTTTTGATGATGATGATGATGATCAGACGTAATCAGAACTGCAATATTATTTTTATCATGGTTTTAGCTTGATAACGGTGTAAGAATCTACACAGAAATACTGTTGATTAGCACCCCGCAGCAGCAATATTCAAGCTGTATGTGTCAATATGACTGCATGTGCCGTGGTTATACCAGGAATAACCTGCTGAACGATGAATGCTTTATTATAAGTTTTGTAAGTTGAAATAGTAGAAACATCATTTGTGCAATGAACAAGAAGTTGTTATTATAAATATGCTTTATTATAAGCTTTCAGTATCCCATAGTCTTAATCCGTTAGAATATTGATCTTCAGTATCCCATGCTTGCCGTAAGAGGCGACTGACAGGCTCGCTGACTTGGTTGACACATGTCATCGGTTCCCAGTTGTGCAGATCGATGCTCATGTTGTTGATCACTGGATTGTATGGTCCAGACTCGATTATTTACAGACCGCTGCCATATAACTGGAATATTGCTGAGTGTGGCATAAAACTAAACTCACTCACTCACTAGTCATTTTAATAAAAGACAGGTATTGTGCCACTTCTTTGGAGTGACATAACAGAGTACCTATAGTCCTATGGAAGGATAACAATATATGGATGAACAACTTCTTTATTGCTGTGAGAGCGACGTTTCGGTGTAGGTTATAACGCCGTTATCAAGCCAGTTTATATCAAGACGTTATAGTCCTATGAAAAAGTTGGGTGTTCTGCAGCATCTTTTGATTAGTATGTGTGTTTAATTATGCGAGTTTGAACATGAATATTACGCAGGAATGTAACCATCATGTGGAGTGGAGTACACTAACACTTGTTGTAAATTAATTATCAACGAATTATCTGAAAGTCACTAACGATGAACTAACGATGTCCATGTCACAATATAGAGATATATCATCAAATCAGATCATTTCATCCAATAGGATACATCTGTGTATGACGTTTGAAGGACATCTCCATAGAAGATTGACTGTCCAGTTGAAGGGATTGATTCTTGAGCCAACTTGATGTTGATTTCCTGAAAACTGCAGCTTATTTCTTCACAACATGAATTCGGAAATTTTGATTGAATTCTAATTTTGGCGTAGATGACATTGCATTCAGAAATGGCAATGAACATGACAAGAGGCATGACAAGAGGCATGACAATGATTATTTTACATTCAGGACTGTTTTTTTTTATTGTTTTGAGATACAGAGCTTAGAAATGCATGTCTGAGTACCTTGCTCAATCTGTCATGAAGTACTTGACGCTGTTTGGCTTCGCAGAAAGTTCACTTGACTTGAACACCTGTCAGGTGACCTCCGATCTTCTTGCACTGAAGTATTGTATTGGAGTAAGGATCTGATTTGATTACAACTGGTCAAGCATCACAATGCATCATTCAATCTTGGTTTGATACAGTTGTACATATGATGTCCATGTTATGTGGTTGAGGGATGATCGTCTTTGTGATGAATGTACTCGTATGGGAGACGTGTAAGTGACTACTGTAGTCTGTATATTGTTACAGCTGTATGCTGTATGCTGTCTGTCCATGAACATGTAGCAGTGTATGAAATAAGCCAAAAATCCATCTAGACATGAGGGCTGGTAACTTCAAAATGTTACCAGTCCAAATGGATTTAACCAGACCAAATATGGTGAATTTACTCAGATGTATGGAGCATCTAAAATTTGTACCAGACCATCGGGCTGGCTAGCTGTAAATTTAGACCGTCCGCCAGAAATGTAGACTGTCTCGGGCGGCCGGACAGGCCTTATTTCATATACTACATGTAGCTGTGCATTTTTTAACAATGTGCACCAACGCCATGACATCTTCACAGCGACATTAATGTATCATCACAGGAGCAGCAAACATTGCAAGAACATTATGGCAATATTGCAAGAACATTGAACATTGCAAGAACATGGCAACATGGTTCTTGCAACTTGGCAACATTGCAAGAACATTATGGCAGTATCGCAAGATCATTGAAACATTACAAGAACATTGCAAGAACATCATGACGACATTGCAAAAACATTGTGTCAACATTGCAAGAGCATGTTGATATCGCAAGATCTTTGCAACATTACAAGAACATGGCAACATTGCAAGAACATTGTTGGAATATTGCAAGAACATCGTGGCAACATTGCAAGAACATGGCAACATTTTAAGAACAACTTGGCAACATTGCAAAAACTGGCAATATTGCAAGAACTTTGTGGCAACATTGCAAGAGCATCGTGGCACAACGCAATTACATGTCATCATTGCAAAACATCACAGCAACATTGTGAGGTCATTGCAACATCGACACATCATTGCTACATCGCAACAGCACCATGACGTCACAACATTGTTGCAACTTCACAGTTGCAGGGCAAGAGTGCAACAGCAACTTTCTAACTGATAATATGTGCCTCATAGTCTTAATATCTATTGCAGAATAATTGACATGTTATTATAAAGTGTGTTATTCAGAACATTGAAACTGAAGATTGAATCATGAAAATAGCGTATCACATGCAAAGCCAGGTTCATGAGAGTTTCCATTCCTTTGAAATTTACGAATGACCTCAGTAATGACTCATGTTTGCTGACTCAGTATACCATGTAGAAGTATGAAGAGGTCAGTGACATCATCAAGCCCAAAATGGACCGCCGGAGGTCAAGCAGTGTTGAAGTCCATATCGTAGCAGAGAAGACGTTAACTGACTCATACCACAGTTAACGAATAGTCTCTGCTTTGGGCACTTGCTTAATACTTTGAACTGAGTCTCGCTGCCCTCGATATCAAATAAAATTGTCCGACCACTGCATGTGCCGTGGCAATACCAGGAATAACCTGCTGAACGATGAACGTAACACACCAGTTTTGTAAGTTGAAATAGTAGTTTAAATATTGGTAAAAGCAATCATAGTCCTTCGGAACTGAAGTCCGTACTGGACATTTTCACTGTGTGAGCAAGTAGCATTTTGACTATGATTGAAAGAAAAATGTACAAGGTTGTCACGAACAATGACCTCACACCTGGTTGCTATGAACATGCTCATTGCTGTTTGGATACTCTAGAACCTGCTTGATCAGCTTATATCAACTATCTGCGACCAGCAATACTTAGTGAATACGAGTTGAGTAAACTTTACATCGGGGTTCATTTATTTAAGCCTTTGTTCCATCTTTGATATGAACCTGATTTGATGATATTGGTGCATTTTGTACTCCCCAGGGAGTTGAGAATCAAAATCAATGCTCACTGATTCATCCATCGAGGAAGTAATAATGACACGCTTTGAGTATCCCTTCGTGTTGTATGAAAGATTATAGATCGCAGTGATGTTGTTGTTAGCATCATTTCAGAGAAATTTCAATATGCGAGAATCACTCATAAAATCTCCATCATCATTGATTGGTTGTTGTTTAATGCCGCAGTCAGCAATATTCCAGCTATATGGCGGCAATCTGTAAATCGACTTTGAACCAGACAATCCAGTGATCGACAGCATAAGCATCGATCTACGCAACTGGGATGCGATAACACGTGTCAACCAAGTCAGGGAGCCTGACCACCAGATCCTGTTAGTCGCCCCTTAGGACAAGCATGGGTTGCTGATGATCGATTCTAACCGGGATCTTCACAGGTCCATCATCAACAAATATTGTGAGCATCAATTTCATGACTTAGAGTCACACTGGTCAGACACATCGATTCGGAGACACTTGACATACAGTTTGTTTTCATTATTATTATTATTTTTATTATATACAGATTTGAATAAATAAATGCAACACAGGGTTTTCAGGTCCTCCTTGTTTATTGTTATTATTATTTAATTATAGATGTGTTTTATAGATTGAAAATTATTTTTATGTTTAACAGATTTAGATACATGAATGCAGCAAAGAATACTTGCGTGATCCTGGCACTGTCAGGCTGGTTACAAATAATGATTATTATTATTATTTTGTTGTTTTACACGACTGTGACTCTTCAAGTGAGAGCCTCTCCCAATTCTTTTGTTATTTTGCTGACATCTTTGGGATGAAACCATCTGAGATGATTACGTTTTTGTTTAAGTTGTGTATGCTTTGTCAATGAAATGAAGGCACAGTATAATCTACAGGATGATGTTCCAAGAGGTTTGTAATGCAGATTCTTTGTCAGGGTATGACTATGGTTTGATGTGACAGTGCGATTTGTTATAGTAAATTCGACTTTTAGAGTTGATGATGTACATGATTATTTAAGTAAAGTATCCGATTGGTTTATGATGAATACATAATCATATTTGATGTGTATAGATTTGGAATGTACATACGTCTATGGTTGTTTGTTTGAGAAACATGTACAAAGGTTAAGCATGATATGTGAAGGAACCTTTTTCAATCCATTCAAAGTTGTTCACACTTGGCGCACCAGGTTATTTTTGTTCTGTTTTTGTGCAGTAGCTTTAAATGATGAACTGGTGGAACTAACGACACGTGTACTTATGAACTGTCATAGGTACCTGCTTGTAAACTGTCATTGGAATTGGGGCATAGGTACCTGCTTGTAAACTGCCATTGGACTTGGGACACAGGTACCTGCTTGTAAGCTGTCATTGGACTTTGGGCACAGGTACTTGATTGTAAACTGTCATTGAAATTGGGGCATAGGTACCTGCTTGTAAACTGCCATTGGACTTGGGACACAGGTACCTGCTTGTAAGCTGTCATTGGACTTTGGGCACAGGTACTTGATTGTAAACTGTCATTGGAATTGGGGCATTGGTACCTGCTTGTAAGCGGCCATTGGACTTGGGACACAGGTACCTGTTTGTAAGCTGTCATTGGACCTGGGACACAGGTACCTGCTTGTAAACTGTCATTGGGATTGGGACATAGGTACCTGCTGTCCTTTTGCCTCCTATGTATCCGATTGTAGACACTCACTCACTCCGGGGAATGGGCATCTGCTTCTAAATCCTTAGTTACTCAGGGGAAAAGAGGGACCGCCAGTGTACTGCTCACTGTCACGCTTGAAGACCCTTCTGGGAGACTGGGCACCTGCTTGGAACTCTCAGAGAATCCTGTACTGGGATCGACACCATCTTTCTATAACTTTTGTATTGAAATCACAATCTATACTTACACAAATGTACTTGTTTTGTTTTGTTATATCTAATCATAATGTTGGGTAGAAATTTATAATTTCATGAATTACACCATTACGTCTTATCCACTTATTTTCTTTTGGTATATTATTTACCAATTATTTTGTTTACCGCCCATGTGTATACACCGGTTTTTATTTTGGGATGTTTTACTGATGAATATATTATGATGGGTTGCCATGGCTGCTGATGACTTGTAATGAGTGGAAGGAATAAACGTATTCCATACAGAATCCTGTGTCAACTCGTCATTAACGTTTCGCTTAAATATGATTCTGTCTGAATTTGGAAGATACCACTGTCAGAGTTTGCTTTTGAAATCACTCATCATTTGAACAGGGAGTCCATAAAAGGGTAAGCATGTCCTTTATGTTGTTTGTGCAGTGTGGAGCACCATTTAAGTGGCCTAAATATAATTGATACTATTCAAAAAGACGTTAAAACCCAACTCACTCACTGTCAGTCCATGTAATGCATACCTCCATTACAGACCTGAGAAACCTTTCGGACATATTGGTCCGAAATGAATGGGTGAGTGATCGGGTGGTCAGGCTCTCTGACTTGGTTGATACATGCCATCGTATCCCTGATGCGTTGATCGATGCTCATGCTGTTGATTACAAGGTGACCGCCTCCGTGGTGTAGTGGTTAGAGCCTCCGCCCGGAGAATGGAAGATCGCGGGTTCGATCCCCGACCGCGTCATACCAAAAGACGTTAAAATATGGTACTTGTTGGTTCCTGCCTGGCGCTCTGCATTAATGGGTACATCAAGGACTGGTCGGCTCGGAGTCAGTATAATGTGTCTGAGTGGGGTATTCATGCTTCACTGCGGCATGGTATCTCAGTGGGCTAGGACTATAAAACCAGCTTCAGTCTGGGCTAGTACAAGCAGTCGCACATTCATATACACACGCATGCACGTCGTCATATGAGCGAAATCTTCTCAAGTACGACGTTAAACCCAAATTCACCTCACCTGACTGATTACAAGATTGTCTTGTCCAGACTCGATTATTTACAGACTGCCCCCATATAGCTGGAATATTGCTGACTGCGGCTTTAAACAACAGTCAGCCACCCAGTCTTTAGTCTTTCTATTTTGAGTCAACGGAGGATGTAAAGTAAAAATAACTTGTACCTGCGAGAACAGTTGGACGACAAGTCACTGTTGGGAGCTCGTGAGGAACGGCCTCCTTCGTCAGCGAGCTGACCACAACGATGTACTTGCTGCCGCCTGTTGTGTCTTGTAGAACGCCGATGATGTCGATTCCAACGAGGCTACAGGTTTTGGCAGGCACAGGAATGGAGTGGAGTGTTGACTTTGGGATTGATAACAAAGCACTTCGGACACGGCTTGACATATTCTTACACGCCGTTCTAAATGCCTTTGAAATAACAACACAAGGATATCTGCCGAAGATTTTCGTTGCTTCTACTACCGTCTCCGCCATGCCTGGCTTCGACTCCGAGGTCCATCCATGGTACGAGCCTGAATATGAAAACGATGCTTTCGAACCTTTGTGGAATCGGCCTATGTACAGCCTCAGATGAATTCCAGCCAACAAACCTGATCTTGTCCTTTTTGATAAAACCAATGAATTTATTTATATCATTGAATTTTTTGTCCCTTTTGATAGGAGTGTGATTGGCAAGATTCAGAAAAAGCATGCTAAGTATGCGGACCTCGCCTTTGAAATGTCTCGCTTGCATCCCAAGTACACTGTCGTTAGACTCCCCATTGTTCTCGGTGCCCTTGGTTTGGTACCTCCTGATCTCTTGGTGCAGATCAGGAGAGTGCCCGGGTTCTCCACCGGGAGCACTGCCCTTCTGACACTCTGGGTAATGCAGAAGGCTGCAGTGTTGGGGAGTCTACATATCCACCCTAAAGTTCTTGGTGGGTTCGACTTGGCAGCGTTTCATAGGAGAAGTCCCATTCGCTGTCTGGGATGCGTGTAGATGGGGCAAGGGCCCTGAGCTGCTGATGAGCCTTATCAGTATGTGTCAGGATCACCCGAACCCTCTCTGCTGCATATTTTCTTTAATTTTATTGTGTACTTTTACATATATTTATCAGATGACCCTCTGGTGATGCATGTCAAGACTCATGATGAAAGCAAGGAATTCCACAGCTATCTTAAGCGTGCCAAGGTTGTAGGACAGAATCTGAGATTTGAGGTTGATTTTGCTGATGGTGATGTACTGCTGGACGTTACAACGATGGGAGTAAACCAGGTGAAGTCCTTCACCAAGTCTGCCCAGAGTTGGTCTTTTGTGGAGAAGCTTTCTGAGAAGCCATTGCATCGTGTGTACATGCAGTGTGTGGAACAGAATAGCAATCCCACCGACTCCTCCGCCTGGATGAAGTCAGCTGGTCTCAAATGTGAAACTGAGGGCTTCCTTTTTGCTGCTCAGGACTGTCATTTACCACTCATAATCGCCAAAATGTGATTCTAAAAGAAAATATCAATATGAAATGTCGACTATGTAATGAATTTACAGAGACTGTCCGACATCTTGTCATTGGATGCCCTTCTTTGGCACAAACAGCATATGTTAAACGACATGATGGCATGGCTCGTTGCTTTTACTACCGTCTCCGCCATGTCTGTGGCTTTGACTCCGAGGTCCATCCATGGTACGACCCTGAACATGTCGGGCGTCATGGAAAACGATGCTTTCAAACTTCTGTGGAATAGGCCCATATTCAGCCTGAGAAGAAGTCCAGCCAACAAACCTGATCTTGTCCTTTTTGATAAAGCCAATGAATTTATTTATATAAATGAATTGTCTGTCCCTTTTGACACCAATGTGAAATGGCAAGATTCAGGAAAAGCATGATAAGTATGCGGACCTCGCCTTTGAAATGTCTCGCTTGCATCCCAAGTACACTGTCGTTAGACTCCCTATTATTCTCGGTGCCCTTGGTTTGGTACCTCCTGAACTCTTGGAGCAGATCAGGAGAGTGCCCGGGTTCTCCACCGGGAGCACAGCCCTTCTGACACTCTGGGTAATGCAGAAGACTGCAGTGTTGGGAAGCTTTCATATTCTCCGGAAAGTTCTTGGTGGGTTCGCTTAGGCAGTGTTTCCTGGGAGAAGTCCCATTCGCTGTCTGGGTTGCGTGTAGAGGGGGCAGGGGCCCTGAGCTGATGATGAGCCTTACCAGCCTGACTGTGCCAGAATCACTCTGCTGCATACTATTTTTATCTGTAAAACATAATAATAGACAAGCTCCAGAATGCCCAAATTCAAGACAAACTTCGGGCCGAGTATTAAACTCACTTAAAGAAAATCCGGAACTCAGAGCTAAATGCTCGAAACAAGGTCAAAGCCACCAATACTTTTGCTGTGCCAGTCCTCTTCTATTCCTTTGGACGAGATCCGGTGACTCTCCAAACAGGCACCTGTCAGTGTGTTGGGAAGGGATGCTCACATTACTCATTTAACTCCTGACATCTGTTGGGCCGAGTCCTGAGAAAAATAGATGCCTTAGATTGTCACCTCGTAGTACGAGCTTGGCAAAACAAGTCTTGGTTCCTGGACTATTTTGTTTCTTTGTTCTTTACACTCAACAAAAATCCAGCCATGTGACATATGTCTATAAATAATGGAATTTGAACCAGGCACCCCAGTGATAGACATCATCAGCAATGAAACGTTTGGGAAATGATCACTAGCATAAATCAAGTCCAGACAGCCTGGCCACCATATCACACTTCCCCCGCGACCCCTCAAAAAGCAACCTCAAAATTAATACCTAAAAACCCAAACTAAAATACTCCCTCGCACAGAGACCTTATTGTGCCCCGTACAGGGTAGTGCTGAAGTTATCTTTCCACATGCTGTCTTTGTCCAGTTTTTATTTCTATTTGGACAGTCCCCAAAGAGTATCATTTTTGATTTTCTGTTTCTGTCATTAGTAAAATTTATGTGAAGATCTGGGTTAGAACTGATGTTCAGCAACCTGTGGAAAGATAACTTCAGCACTACCCTGTACGGGGCACAATAAGGTCTCTGTGCGAGGGAGTATGTTAGTTTGGGTTTTTAGGTATTAATTTTGAGGGATGCGGGGGAAGTGTGGTTGGATCGATGTTATTATGACATGGCTACTGTAGGGGTAGAACTGGTACCCTCACTGGTTTGTCGATGTTACTATGGTTCTTGAGTCTGGTAATTAACACTACTTTAGCATTGATGAGGCAATCCCCTAACCTCAGTGTGGAATACTGTAGATATATCTGGGATCTGTTTCTTGTATTTCGTGACTTAAAATTGTATTCTTTTTTACTTAAAAGTTTCTTCAGTTAATGTAAACTTGACCGGTATTAGCTGAGTGGTTGTCATGATCAAAACTGTGTATAACAGACACGTCATCCTTGCTGTAATGTCGGCGATTGAATTTAAAAGATGAGTGAATTTACAGAACGACCCTTCTCTTTCTGTTTGTATCATATTAAACACCTTATTATTGTTTTCTCGAGTAGTGCCTACTTTTCACAGTGCAGTTGTCAGATGGATGGAGTGATGGACTGAAGTAAGGGGTGGTCAGTCGGAGGGATGGAGGTGGTCAGTTGGATGGCCTGACCGGTAATGTGGCATTGGATAGCCGGAAGGGATGGAGTTGTAGTGCTGTACAGAGGGTATTGGACGCGGCTGATGATCTGTAGACAACTGTAGACAGCCGGACTGATACTATACCGGACTGATATTCAATTTGGCTATTTTGTTGTACTAATAAGTCCTTAGAAGGAAGTATTCATTTTGAATTGCAATTATGTAATAAGAATGATAATAATATATAATTGATAGTGCGCCTTTTCCATGTACAAGGCACGTGCTCAAATCGCTAACACATCGCTGATTATTTTTACCCCGGATAACGCAAGCTGCCTGTGAGGCGCAATAAAGTTTATAGTCACATGACTTATCCCATCAGGTACCCATTTTCTGCTGAGTGAACAAACGCAAGTTTGAACTTGTGTCACATGTGTTTCGTTGCGGGGCAGGACTAAAATCCAAGAATCTCTCAGGAATCAAGCTCCCAAACACGGTCACCCATCCAAAGTCCCTCCGCGCCGAACGTTGCTTAATTTCAACTAATTTGTGACCTGAGCTCTATGCACAAGACCACACACCATGTAATTAGAAGTGTGTATGCGGTTTGATTGTTGTGACAGGCATGAGGGTTCGGATTGTTTTTGTAATCCTTGTCCTATTGTTGTCCTGGTTTCTGAC